GGAAACACCAGGCAGGAACAGCCGCATTTAAACAGGGGCGTGGAGCACAAGGTAGCACTATTGATTTATCAGGGCTGGTTTTTTGTGTAGAGGCCAGAACTGCTGGATTTTCTCCGGAAAATGGCACAAAAAAAAAAAAAGAACTCCTGTTACAGTGAACTTAATAGACTGGAAACAGAATCAGAACACGGTACAATAGATAGTGCACAGTGCTGTAATTTAATAACTAAAAACTGTGTCTGCAGACTCACAGAGCAAAGGCTGCTTTTTTTTTTTTTTTTTTTAAGAGTGGCCATTTTAAAAGCAACATTTAACAGAGAGAGCCATCAGACAGGAGGAAACACAGAGACCAGTTCCTTCAAGACAACAGGCTAAATAAGCCGCAATTCACTACATGTCACATGTTGTGCAGCCTGTGGAGGACAGCATCCAAAACAACATCCATGATTTCAACATCCATGACACAGAACAGTCGATGCAACATAACAGAATAGATTAAACGTCATTAATGCTCCGAGGGAGAGTGCTTCATCCACACACAACAGGCAGATTGATTGAAAAGTTCAAAGAAATATTTTCCATAGGACCCCGACCACAACATGGTCCAGCCACAACGGGAGCTCTTCTGTCATTTAACTGTCTGATCACAAGCACGACTCAACATCCAGCTTTATACTTCATCCAACTGGGATCTCCACTGCAACTCTAATAATTCTTGAATCATAATAAATAATCAAAACCTAACCTGGCAAAAACAAAATAAGAAATGAGAAAACATTAGTTCTTTAGCCATCGATCAGCTTCAACAGCACTTCCATTTTTAATGACAGATTCGTCAAAACATGGTCATAATAAGAGTAGTAACCGCTCACAACATTACTGCAGTAAAACAACCTGGAGTGTCGGCAACAGATGACAGCGTGATACCTGAAATATTCAATGCTTCTTCCTGTTGAAGAGTTTCATGCAGGACGTTAAGAGGACAGATGCACCGCGTCAGCATCCGTCTGTCCGTGTGGTCATCAGGACCTGAGCAGCAGCTTCAGACACAAACAGAGCACTCATCTGTCCTGGGATAGCGTGACTGGCTGTGCTCAGCTGGGAGGAGGTGGAGGTTGGTCAGACAATACTGATACTAATTTGTTTTATTTTTAGACATTATTTATTACGATTGTTTTCAGTGCGTGTAATAAAGTGGAGCTATTTTGTGTGGCTCCATCCATCTGGTACCTATAGGACGTAGAAGCACCCATTACTGTGGTGACACCGTTTGCTCACTACAATCATGTACAAGAATCTCATTGTTTGGGCTTTTTTTTTTTAAAACAACAAATCTGTCCAGGAGATCCTGTAAACAGCTAGAAAACATATTGGCCAATTGGTATTTGAATGTAGGTCATAATTTAAAAACATTTACCAGATGTGAGATGCTGCATCAGCTCATCAAGCAGAAAACAAAGTACAAAACCCTGCTCCACAAAATGGATTTGACTTTAGTAAATGCTCATTTCTTGTTGCCAATCTGAGCTTCATGCCACCAAAACCGGCACCATCTGTCAACAAGAGGTGAGTCTCCTCCGTACATATCTCTTTCCAGCTTGTTACGATGACAACTGGCCACATTCTACTTCTACACAATAGCAGATTTCAAAGTTTCTTCTATTACAGTGCAAAAAAACATTGACTTTGATTGTTTAAAGCTGTTTGGTTCAGTAATAGCTGCTCCAACCAACAGGTGGCCCAGACTGAATCACTACATTGGTGCCATTTTCTTTACAAAGTTAATGTCAGAGCTAAATTCAGACGTTTTGAATAACTTCTATACCTTCAGCTGTCAGAGGGGGCACAAAGGCCACCGTTAATTACAAGACATTAAGCGCCTTTAAGAGGAACGTAGTGTCCTGGTCCAGCTCCTCTGCCTGTTTGTAGAGACGTGTACATGTATTCCATCTTCACAGCTCTGACTGCAAATATTATCATTGACATTATCAAATAACCTGCTTTCTAAGTTTCTCTATTACCTGAGAAGTATATAAAAAGTGAGAAAAACGTGAACATTTCTGTCGCCGTTCAATCAGAGCCTGCAGGTGATTAGTCCAGCTAACAGTCCAAACCTACAGCGGTTTACGGTGATAGAAGCGATCAATCAACTAATCTTTTCAGCTCTAGTTATATCAGATGTAGGCCAACTTGCCTGAAGCAAACGCCACTTCATAAAAAATAACTACACGTTTATTAGAAAGTACAAGGTTAACCTTCAGGGGAGCGGAGCAGAGGTGTTACTTCACACATGCAGCTGTTAGTGTTAAAGCCATTATCTACAAACTCGTAACATCACAGAGCGCTGCAGCGGCATCTGTGCGGCAGCAGAACGCCTCAGCACCGCAAAACCATCTCCTGAGGAAATCCAAAGAATCCTGCACACGGTTCATCACCTGAGCTCACTGCTTCAACCGATCTGCTTGTTCCTCAAATGGGTTTTTGATCTGTGGCACCTGAAATAATAATCCTTGGTGTATAACAACTTCACATACTCGACAAGGTTTCTGCAGTCGTGTTGCTTATATGTCACGTTTCAGAAACCATAAAGGTTGGGTGCACTCTAAAAAGGAGTTCAGGGCATCTGTTCCTACCACTTAATAAAATGCATGTTTGCATTCTGATGTCTTGACTTAGACAAAGCTTTTAAACATCATTTTGAGGGCTTAGGTTTGCATCATAATGCATCAGCTTAACATTGTGCTTGACACTTCAGGTCCATCAAATCACAAACAGACTGAAAAACAGCTTCTACCTCAGAGCCACAAGAGACCTGAACTCTGTCAGACACTGACTCTAACCGTCTGAACCTGAGGACCTGCCACCATCTATGTGCCATTTATTTATGGTGCACTAAAAAAAAGCCGACTAATTTCATTTCATATTGCCATGACGATAAAGACATTCTATTCTATTGTGTGTAAATTAAAGTGAAATTTTTAAAGTGGGAATTCAAATATAACTCTGAAATTCAAGATTTTTTAAAAAAGTAATTGCGAACAATTTTGTTTTTGTGTGAAATAATTGCTTAAACTCTTACAGAAATTGTAACGGGAGCAACTTAGTCAGTCAACTCAATCAATCAATCAATAAGTGGTGATTAAAAATACCTTCCACTGTGGAGGGAAAGCTAATTCTACTCACACAGTTAACGTAACTCAGTAGCATTAAGGCAAACTGTTGCCTTAATCCAAACATTATTCCTAAAGTGTAGGTGCATCATTAATTATCTGCATCCTCCCTGCATGGAAATGACAGATAATGCAAGATTTTGTGGGAAATGACAGCAAAGAACAAGCACCTGATCAGAACTGGCCATTTTCCCAGTTGGCTGCAGCAAACAGTGGAGTCATTGTTCCACCGCCTCCCCTCAGAACCACCTCAGATTCAACATATTCTAACAAGTTTTCCTCGCTACTGATTTTCTCCGCAAAAAGAGCTTCCCTGTTTGATGAATTAGCAGCAGCAGAAAGCAGAAGGAGCAATGCCCTCGTTTGGAGGTCACAAGCTGAGGAGGAGTCACCATGAGCCAAGATGCGGGATCCCCCCTCCTTCCTAACGCAATAAGGCAGGACACACCCAGCCGGAGAGGGGAGGAGGTGGAGGAGGAGGAGGAGGAGGAGATGGATGAAACGAGAGGAGAGGAGGAAAAAAGAAGCAGAGCCGCTGCTGCTCATCCGCCCATCTTAGCGAGATGACGTAAGGACGGTTCTTCTTCAGCAGAACCAAGTACCGTTAATTAAAAACAAAACGGCTCCTTCCGCCCTTGCGAGCCCGACAAAAGCGCAGGTCCTGTTTGAAATGTGGGGAAACCACTCCGACGAGCTGAACGGGCTCATCCTGCAGGCGCCGCCGCATTCATGACAACAGAGTGAAGTGACACCGCAAACACACGCAATTAGCAGCAGCGAGCCGACCGCAGCAACCGGTGTTCGGCGAAGGAAAAGCCCCGTTTTCAACCCAGTTGCAGAGTGATTCACAGATAGGAAAACGGCTCTTTCTATTTCTTTAAGGGTTAGCAGGGGAAATATCAGTCGGAAAACAAAACAGACTGTGAGCAAACTGTTTCCAGACACAGATTCCTGCCTCGCAGCCACTGCAGCGGCCGATACGTGCCGTTGTGTCGCCCGGGCAGAGCCGCCACCAGAGCGCCATCCGCAAACCGGCGATTTAAACTACATTTCCTCCTCCGCCAGTGAACGCTTCAGATTTTGCACATGCTAGGAGGCTTTGCGCAATCTCTGACAGCGACTCTCCAATTCGGCATAGCTCCACAACACGGAAAAACACCTCGTGTCACCGAAATGACAACTTTTAGCAACAGATGCGTGCAGAGACTAGCTCAGAAAAAAAGTTTTGACCAAAATGGATGCTATGAGATAAAGCGTGTCGCGCTGCAGCTGTTTTAAGGAGGGGTTCGGTTCGAGGGGAAACATCGGCGTTAAGTTGTCGTTACTGAACCGATCTGACAGCGTTGACTGCAGACCGGAGAAGAAAGGCACGTACCGGGGCTGTAACCAAGCTAACTGCCGGGACGTTAGACGGGCACAATCCGGTAAAAGAAAAAAAAGGAAAAAAAGAGCCTCGAAGGTTTTTTTAAGACACTTGATGTGATTTTTTTAAAAGTGGAAAATGCAACAAATTCGATGTTTTAACGTCCCCCAAGCGGGATATGTGTCCGTTAACACCTGTGGAAAATCCCAAATCTGTTGCTAATAAGTGGGTGTCAAGGTAAAGAAACGGCAGTTCTGACCGTTACCCGGATGCTGAGCAGTGCGGACAACCGGGGACACGACGGAGCCCCGAAAAACACGTCAAAATGTCACTTTAACGGCAGCGCGGCGCTTCTCGGTTTCTTTTCTTTCTTTCTTTTTTTAGCTACAAGTGAATTCAAGGAAAGCGGACTTTTGGCGAGTTAAAGTTTACAACAACAAAACCCAGAAGAGAGGAGAAGACGTTACCTCCACTCGGCGGATCCTCGTCCAAATCGCGTCCTGTGTCGGTGTCGGTAACGGCGGGCAGAGGCTCCCCTTCAGAGGGGTTCGTCCATTTCCCAGCAGGGCTCCAACTTGACAACTGCGGCGGTGGAAAAATGAGGAGGAACAACAAAAAACAAGAAAAAGAAGCAGCTTTGTTCCGACGCTTGGAGCAGTTTCTCTCACTCTGGTTGCAACTCAAACAAGGCTGCGGTCCGGTAACGGCAGCCCCCGGAAAACGAACCGGACCCGAACTGAGTCCCACAAATCAATCCGCTGGAAGAGGCTGGAAGAAAAGAAAAAAACTCACTATGTGTGTTTGTGCTCCGGAGGGACCGGCTCTGGAACAAAGAGCGGACCCAGCAGGCGAGCTCTGGCTGGCGGTGTGTTCGGTGGCGGGGCGGTGGGCGGAGGTGCTCCGTTACGGTGAACCGGAGAAAAGAGCCAACGGCCGGATCAACGTCTCTTCCGCGCGAGCTGGGCAGCCGAGAGAGAGAGAGAGAGGGGGAGAGAGAGAGGGAGGCGAGCGCGTGCTGGGGCGCGCGACACTGGGAGGGGCGGGACCAGCCGGGATCACCCTGTTTTTAAGGTGGATCCACGAGTTAATGGCGACTAATCGACTGTCTGAGCGACGACTCGGTTGATCGAAACTGGAGTTTTTTTTTTCTTTACCCCTTTAAAATAAAATTGCAGCTTCATTTAAATGTTTTTTTTTTTTAAACAACCTACAGTCGTCCTCAGATGTATTCACACCCTTCCATTGAAGAAAAGGCAAAATTCACAACAGTCACTCAAACAACTAGAAACTGAAAAAAGTAAATAAATCAAAATTTGCAAAGTTATATTTTAGTGAAAAAACACATTGCTTTTGAATTGTGGTTGAAAAGAATAATTAAAAAAAAAAAAAACTGTCCCAGGCCAATTAGAGCACTTTGCTGATGAGCAGTGAAATCAGAACACCTGTCAACAGGTGCAGAAGTCTGACTGAGAGTTACAGAAAACACCTGATGGCAGTGATTGGCTCAAAGGGTTGTTCAACTAAATATTAGTTTACAGGTCCCATCATGCTTGTTTGCTTGTGTTTTTTTGTTTTTTTTAAAAGATATTTCCGTTGAACCACAATCCAAAAGCAATGTCATGATTTCCGTTATATTTTTTTTATCTATTATTACATTTGTCAAGTTCAACTTATTTCAGTAACGGCTGTTGGTTTTTTTCCTTCTTTAATGGGAGGGTATGAACACATTTGAGGACGACAGTACATGTCTTTGCAGCACAACATGAAATAGAAAAAGAATGAACTGAGTAAGACACCAACCACACTAAATAACACA